TCATTATTTGGTTTCGTATTTATTAAGGATCTATTTTCTCAGTTTGCTTAATGGGAATTTACAGTCTGTTTTGTTTTTTGTTTGTTTCGTTGAAAAACAAGTGTGTCGTTCTCTGAAGACGTCTTACTCGTATATATTCACTTCTTAACTGCGATTCTTCTCCAGTCATATTCAGTTTTGTCGATTAGATTGTTTCTGAAAGGTGTTGAAAATGACTTCATTATCATTAATCCTAAGTGGGATTAATTTTCAGTTAAACTTCATGTATGTGCGTAATGCAAAAAGCACACGCAGAGAATTCAAATCAAGCTTGTGAACTGAATGCGGCGTTCGTTGTATAATAGAAAACATTTGCAGTCTAATGAATTGTGCTTATTATCTTCAGCTCTTTCGCTAGATTGCAGTTTTTGTTGTTTTAGTCGTCATGTCATCGTCCCTTACCGTCGGTCAATATTAGGTCTCTGGTTTATGTGACGTCTTTTTGACCAAATGTTTGTTGGGTAAGCACAAATTTGGTCGTGTCCTGTCGTGGAGACTCGGAAATGATTGTTTGACCCTTTCAATGAATCTTTTCGTTTCAGTGGAAGCAATTTCTGAGGCGTAACTCTCTAATGATTGAACACTTTTCTTGAGTCGTTTAAATATGAAATCAAGGCTTAGGGTAGGAGCACTCGCATGCAAACTTATTGCGAAATGTCATTATTTTTGTCGTACGCATAGTTCTACCTCACTTCGTTATTGTATTTTGGTGATGGAATTCGAGTAATCGTAATTACTTAAGGGTATTCGGTGGAGATCATAAGGGCACTCTTTCAGTGAGTTCATTCTCTTCAGTATTTTTCTTCGTCGATTCCCGCATATGCACTTCCTTATCAGACAGCCCAAATGCTTTGCTTGTTTAATATTGACTCTACTGTTTCGAATGTTCCTACATTCATATCGATTTTGTGGTAATTATATTACTGACTCTCCACTCATAATCCTCAGATGAACGGATGGATGGATATCCTTCTTATTACCGATCAATCTAAAGCATTCAACTCTTTCCGTATGAAATTTTCGTCATCAAATCACCTCCTATCATCAGATTCAGGAATTTCTCTTGTTCTTAGGAGAATATTCAATTTTTGAATGGGTTTTTTGTTTATTTTCACTGAATCGTTTCACTCGAACATTGCGATTGTTCATGTGCTTGTGCGTGTTAATGTTGTAAGGAATTTCTTGGTGGTTTCGTATTGTTCGTTTATTTTTCACATTTCTCATATTTGTATTATCGTTGTTTTATCAAAATCAGGCAGGAATTTTGCGTTCATTTAAAAAGATTTTCAAGTTTTGACTCTTGATCGATTTCATTAAATTTTATGATTGTTATTTTTAATCTCATTGTTGTTTTCATCGTTTCTGTGAGCGTGTCATCATTCATTGTTATCGTTATGATCGATGTTGTTATGATAATTGTTATTATTCTTTGTAATAATATCGTTTTTAGCATAAACTAATCGTTTTGCAGATTACGCCTCAGAACTTGTTTACGATTCGGATCGCATTCGTTACGCACTTTATGCTATATCAATATTCAAGGTTTTAGGGAGCAATTAATTTCCTAGCTAACACCTTATCCTCTCGAGTCTTTTGCATACTTCCGGGCAATTCCTTTATCAAGGGAGGGGGGTTAATGTGCTTTCTAGGATGCGTTTAATGCTATCTGTGCTCTTGATATCATTCATATCATGAAACTGAAACATGTATTTCGTAATTATGAGCGAAAATGCCCTCTGGTTTAACAGATTGCCGTAATTAAATGAATTCAATTATCGCATAAATATGTTTGAAAATTACATTGAGAGATTTGCCTGTTCAGACACTCGACAAGTCGTCTGCACAATTGCTTTAATTTCGGTAATGACTGGTGATATATCTGATTGAATCGCATAGTGATAATCATATGCATGCGATTATAAAAGCGAGTGTTTTGTACATAAATGAACAATGACAATAATACGACAGTTCATAAGGCGTAAGCATTTCTTCATCACAACACCGATCTTCTACGCGAATGCACGTATGTGATTGTGTCGTCATTGTTTTACACTAGAATAGCTTCATTTGATTCTCTAATTTGTGAGATCTTGCACTGAGTTACAATTGGTTGAATTAGTTAATCAAATGATCAATTGAATCATTTGATCTTAGATCAAAGTTATTTGATTATGCCTTGAATTATAGCAATTGGGCGATGATATGATA